TTAGGGTTTAGGGTTTAGGGTTTAGGGTTTAGGGTTTAGGGTTTTCGGATTTCTTGGGATTTCAAGCACCTTGGGTCTACGCAACGCCTCCAGGCCCTAGATCCAGCAGTCCTTCATTCCTCTTATCCAGGGTGCGAGGTCCTGCTTCGCCCTAAACCCTAAACCCTAAACCCTAAACCCTAAACCCTAAACCCTAAACCCTAAACCCTAAACCCTAAACCCTAAACCCTAAACCCTAAACCCTAAACCCTAAACCCTAAACCCTAAACCCTAAACCGTAGACCCTAAACCCTAAACCCTAAACCCTAAACCCTAAACCCTAAACCCTAAACCCTAAACCCTAAACCCTAAACCCTAAACCCTAAACCCTAAGCCCTCAAGACCTTAGCCCTGCACCTTCCAGGAGCCGGACTTGAAAATGCCGCTCTCTGCAGACAAGTCCGTGGTGGACACGTGCGGGGGGAGCAGGGCTTTCTTCGGTCACAGAACGCGTCATTATTTAGCTTTAGGGTTTAGGGTTTAGGGTTTAGGGTTTAGGGTTTAGGGTTTAGGGTTTAGGGTTTAGGGTTTAGGGTTTAGGGTTTAGGGTTTAGGGTTTAGGGGGGTTCAGCATATGCAGGTCAAGAATGCAGCTGAACCAGGGTGCTTCTGGTTTTCGAGTTCTTTTGTTTTGGGGCTTAGAGGTTTCGTTCAGATTCATTCGGGTTACCGCTCGGCTGAGGGCTAAGATTTGTGTTGCCGGTTCTGCCATAAACCCTAAACCCTAAACCCTAAACCCTAAACCCTAAACCCTAAACCCTAAACCCTAAACCCTAAACCCTAAACCCTAAACCCTAAACCCTAAACCCTAAACCCTAAACCCTAGACCCTAGACCCTAGACCCTAGACCCTAAACCCTAAACCCTGAACCCTGAACCCTGAACCCTAAACCCTAAACCCTAAACCCTAAACCCTAAACCCTGGGATGGTAGGCCATCTCGTTCATTGGCGTCCATGCCTTGAGGTTTCATAAGGACACAGGGTTGGCAGGGTTTGGGGGCTCTTCGGGGTACTTTATTGGGGTCTTACTTTAAGGGGATCCCACTACTTGGGGTCTACAATAGGGGCCCTAAACCCTAAACCCTAAACCCTACTAAACCCTAAACCCTAAACCCTAAGCCCTAAACCCTAAACCCTAAACCCTAAACCCTAAACCCTAAACCCTAAACCCTAAACCCTAAACCCTAAACCCTAAACCCTAAACCCTAAACCCATTATCCTAAGCCCCTATGTAGAGGTAGGGCGAACTCTTGGAGAGCTCAGAGGGCACAACAGTCAGCCCACGCCTTCACAAAGGGTTTAGGGTTTAGGGACTGGGGCTTAGGGTTTAGGGTTCCGGAGCCCTCCCTTCATCCCAAAGCCAAGGGCCCAGGGCCCTCAAAGCCCTCAAGGCCCTCAAACCTGAAAGCTTTGAATCCACAGCCCCGAACATTGCGGCTACGCAGACTACACGACGCTCCCTCTTCGAACCCTAACTGAGCGCCTTACAAAAGAAGGACAGCCAGCTCATGGCTCGGGCTGTGGTGAGCGCCTTCGACGCCGCCACTTGCCGCGCATTTTCGGGGGCTCCTTTTTTCTCGAGTCGTTTTTGGGCGTTTTTTGAGGGAGTTTTCGCAGAGAGCTTTGTGAGGCTTTGGGCGTGCGCAGCGGGAGGTCCTTTCTGCAACTCTTCGTAGGGTCAACGGTCACGGTGACGACTTGACAGGCCTTCGGTGGTGTCTTTCGCAACCGAAGGCCCCACTCTTCCGACCACGCAACGCCCAAACGTCTTGGAACGCCCATGGAACTGTTAAGACTATGAAGCGTGCACAGCTCCGCAATTCTGGGTCCAAGGTTGAGGCTTCAGGGTGTCAGGATTAAGGGTTCAAGAAGTTCAAGAAGTTCACGAAGTTCACGAAGTTCAAGAAGTTCAAAAAGTTCAAGAAGTTCAAGAAGTTCAAGAATTCAAGAAGTTCAAGATTTGTAGGTCCTGTCAGGTTCTTTTTTAGGATGCCACAGGATTTTCTTGAGTGTGTCCTAGTAGTAGAGTAGGGCAACCTTGAACCTTTTTTGGGGTAGTAGAATCCCCTTATAGTCCCAAAGGTCAACCTTTACTTCCCCCAGGTTACTGGACAACTAGGGTGTAGAAGGTTTTTTCTTGTTGTCGCCGTTTGGCGGTGTTTGATCAGGCCCAAGCCGATGGTATCCCCTTTAGGACCATGCACAAAAACCCGAAGCCCGAAACCCGAAACCCTAAACCCTAAACCCTAAACCCTAAACCCTAAACCCCAAACCCCAAACCCTAAACCCTAAACCCTGAATGCTGAGATCCTGGACGCGGAAAAAGAAGCGGGCCTCGCTCCGGCCTCGGGTTCTGGGCTGGGCTCTTGCTTGCTCTATGGTTTTTTTGCTTTTAGGGTTTAGGGTTTAGGGTTTAAGGGTTTAGGGTTTAGGGTTTAGGGTTTAGGGTTTCGGGTTTAGGGTTTCGGGTTTAGGGTTTAGGGTTTAGGGGAAGCCCAAGCCTTCTTTCGTTGCTTGGGGTGTAGTTTGTTTGGGAAGTTGTTCAGGGAGGTGAGTGCATGAGGTGAGAGACAAAGAGCTGCGGGGCGGGCATAGCAAGCCTTCAGGCTCTATGGTTTTTTCTTTTGGGGTTTAGGGTTTAGGGTGTAGGGTTTAGGGTTTAGGGTTTGGGTTTAGGGTTCAGGGATTAGGGATTAGTTTAGGGTTTAGGGTTTCGGGTTTAGGGTTTCGGGTTTAAGTTATGTTTAAGTTATTTCAGGCAATGGCCTCTTTATGAAGGTGTGACTGTCAAAATGGCCCGTAAGAGTAGCAGATTTGGGCAGAGATGGGAAGAGATTCCGTAGAGTAACAGATTTGGGAAGAGATTTGGGAAGAGATTCCGTACACATGTTGTTTAGAGGGCTTGCCTCTTTAGTTCGAGGGCGTTGGGCAAAGCCCAGTTATGACAGGTGGCCTCTTTCAGCTTTGGCCCCCTTTTGTTCAAATACGTGTTTTGGACATTCAAGGGGGGGGGGGGGTGGCCTCTGTAGTTACATGACTTTGGGCGAAAGCCCAGTGTTGTGGCGGGTGGCCTCTTTCAACTTTGACCCCTTTTGCTCAAATATGTGTTTGGGACATCGCAGAGCAAGCAGGGTTTTTACCCAACTCTTCTTGCTCTGCGAAACGGCTTCACAGCCCCTAAAAAGGGTTGTTTAAGGAAACAGAGATGTTTATCCCTTCTGTGCTGGTAACGTAATCGTGGCTCCATAGGGTGTACAAACGCAAACAACATCATATGCGCTCTTCGCGTTTACACTTTCAGAACACTTTAGAAGTAAAAACATATCCCTCGGAAGTTTGTCGTATGTCCCCTCCCTTCGTGCTAGGGCCTGGTGAGGGCCCTAGAAGTTTGTCGTATGTCCCTTCGTGCTCCTAGGGTGAGGGCCGTTTTAAAGTGCAGGCGGGGTATGGGGCCACGATTACGATACCAGCACAGGCTTTTGGAACCGTTTTAAAACGCAGGTTGGCCTTATGTAGGGTTTAGGGTTTAGGGTTTAGGGTTTAGGGCTTAGGGCTTAGGGTTTAGGGTTTAGGTTAGGGTTTAGGGCGACGGGAGGGGACGTGCGACAAACTTCAAGCGCCCCCACCAAACCCTGCGAGCACAAAGGGAGGGGACATACGTGTTCTGAAAGTGCGGTCCCCAAAACGCGGGTGCTATTTGAGTACGCTCGGTCCCCAATAAGCAGGATGCTGGTTGAACACGCTCGGTCCCCATAACTTGGGTGCTATTTGAGTACGCTCGGTCCCCGTAAAGCAGGATGTCCCCAAAACTTGGGCCCTATTGGAGTAAGCTCGGACTGACCCCCCCCTCCGACTCCCCCCTAATTCAAAATGTGTTGTGTATTATGGAGTGGACTCGGGGGACTTACTGGAAGGTACTTTATTACTGGGTTGTATCTACTTCAGAGGCCAAAGGGAGGCCCTGGAACAGTTCTGGTTTGTTCCGGGTACGGTCAGACAGTGTCAAGACAACATGCCCTGGAACAGTTCTGGTCTGTTCTGGAGCAGAAGACCAGGCGCCAGAACAGTTCCAGAACTGTTCTGGAACTGTTCCGCCTTGTTTCGGGATTCAGCACCATTTACGTATTCCCCGGAACTGTTCTGGTTTGTTCTGGAGCATATGAAAACAAGGTTGTTTTTCTTATTATCTTCTGATGTTTTGCATAGTTTTTTGTACTTGTTATTTTGGTGATTTTTTTCTATATATATATTATATATATATATATATATATTATATCACTGTTATGTTGCTATATTGTTATTTTGTTGTATTCTTATCGTGTTATTATAACTTATTTTGTTGTCTTGTTATCGTGTTATTTTGTTATATTGCTATGTTGCGATATTGCTGTAATGTTATATGGTTTTATACTTATCTCACTATAGTCTTCTGTTGTTATATTCTACTATTGTATTATTCATAAATTATATAATTGTAAACGCTTGCGCGCGCCGCCTCGGCAGCCGGGCCGGCCCCAGGACAGGAAAGGAGGAAAGAGGGTTTCGCAGGAAGGAAGGGCAGAGGGGGGGGTGGGGGGGGGGTGGGGGGGGGGGGTGGGGGGGGGGTGGGTGGGGGGGGGGGTGGGGGGTGGGGGGGGTGGGGGGGGGGGGGGGGGGTGGGGGGGGGGGGGGGGGGGGGGGGGGGGGGGGGGGGGTGGGGGCAGGGTGGGGGTGGGGGGAGGGTTTTGAGGCACTCCCCCTGTAAGAGCCGGTTTGCAGCTCCTCCAAGCGATTGGGGGGGGTCCCACGGGGGGGGTGTCTGCTTGTTCCAGACGCTTCTCGGCAGGAAGCCGAGGCGAATTACATGATTCACAACATGGACATTTTGCTCAGGGGACAAAGAGTATCTAAAGGAGTTCTAAGGTCTATAAGTCTATAGCTTACATAGGCTATATAGGCTTTAGGCCTATCCTGCCTCTGGGATGACGGAAGCCCTCTCCGGCGCGCTTTTGGCTCACGAAAGTGCGCCGGGGAGGGTTCTGCTGTCTCAGGGGACAGTGGGTATCCAAAAAGGAGTTCTAAAGTCTATAAGTGTCTAGGCTATAGGTCTATCCTGCCACCTCAAGCCCAGTGAAGAACCCACAGAACCCTCCCTAAAACCTAAACCCTAAACACTGAACCCTAAACCCTGAACCCTGAACCCTAAACCTGAAATCCTGAAGCCGCCAACCTCAAGCCTGAAATCCTGCAACCCCCCACAAACCCGGCGCCCGAAGACCCCCTGGGTCCTTGATAAGGGGACTGCGCCCGCCAAGCCCTCAGCCTGCGACTCCAGGGGGAAAACTGGGCTTCCTCTGGGCTCCCCACAGAACTTTCAGAATAATTCAGCATCATTCAGAGTCCCCCGAGCCCGGGTAGGCCCCCACAACATGGTAACGACATAAGGAACCCCATGGGTTGCTCTGAAAAGCTTGGGGGCACCTGAGGGTGGCTCTCGGGGGTGCCCTAAGCCATACTCTCCCCAAACGGCCTTCGGGTTCAGATGCCTTTTGGCAAAATTGCGATCTTTCACGGTTTAGGGTTTAGGGTTTAGGGTTTAGGGCTTAGGGTCTGGCTCTAACCCCAAACCCTCCAGAACCCTGAACTTGGTTCGGCGCTCGGGTCGGGGCATGGTTTGTCCAGGCTGCAGCTTGTGGGCTTTAGACAATGTCATCCGGAGAGAAATATGAGAAATATGCCCTGTCTCCTAAACCTTACGACGCCGTAGCTGTTTTGCCTTTAGAGCCTAACACCCAGAGTCCCAAAGCTGCTGACTCACTGGAGCCATAGGAGACAGGGTTTAGGGTTTAGGGTTTAGGGTTTAGGGTTTAGGGTTTAGGGTTTAGGGTTTAGGGTCTGACACGTTGCCCCAAGCCCGGTTGAGGGCGCAGAACTGAGGACGAAAGGGACGCAGAGATACCAAGAAGCCTTCAAGTATCTTCAAACCCCGAAAGCCAAAGCTGAGCCTTGTGACTGTCTGCGGCCCTAACCCGAAACCCTAAACCCTGAGCCCTAAACCTTAAACCCTAAACCCTAAACCCTAAACCCTAAACCCTAAACCCTGAGCCCTAAACCTTAAACCCTAAACCCTAAACCCTAAACCCTAAACCCTAAACCCTAAACCCTAAACCCTAAACCCGAAACCCTAAACCCTAAACCCTAAACCCTAAACCCTAAACCCTAAACCCTAAACCCTAAACCCTAAACCCTAAACCCGAAACCCTAAACCCTAAACCCTAAACCCTACTTAACAACTTCGCGAAGAATGGAGAGGCCATCAACTTCACCTCCACGATCTCCTTCGCACTCTGCCCTGGCTGCGGCCTGCACGGGGATGCCCCGGCGTTGGGCCAGCGGCTGGGCTGGGGTTGTCGGTTTAGGGTTTAGGGTTTAGGGCTCAGGGTTTAGGGTTTAGGGTTTGGGGTTTAGGGTTTAGGGTTTATTTAGGGTGTTTTTTGCGGGGGGTTTAGGGGCATCTAGGGGGAGTCCATGAGGGTTTAGCACCCCAACTCTTCACACGTGTTCACTCAAGAACTCAACACATTCAAGTCTTCTGAGCCCCCCAAATCGGCTGAGCGACAAGGATGGCGCTCATCCGCGATGCTATGTTCCACCCGGACCCTCGACTGATCGATTGAGCATAGAGCTCAGGACTTCGCAGGGCTTGGAAACCTAGGCTGCTTGGAACATGCGACTCCTGTTTCCATCCCTTCGCTTGTCTTCATCTCTTTTAGGCGGATGCTACTGAGCTCTGAAAGTGGGGGTGTCATGTAGACGAGTCGGTTAAACCGAGACCCAGGAGCGCTATGGCTACCAGCCACGCAACAACTTGGCGGACAACTACCGGCGGCGGTGGGCTTCCCGCTTGCGCTAGTCCTGAAGGTTGTGGCGAGTCGTAGGGGTTGAGGCTTCAAGGAGCCAAGAAGGACACAAGGGCCCCATTGCGCAGAGTCAATGCAATACCTCAGAGGGTCTTTGCTGGGGTGGTGGCGTGTCTTGACTCAAAGGTCGTTCTGGTGTGTCCGCAGAGCCCTGGGCTCTAGATGCTCCGAAAAATCGAACATCGAAGACTGAAATCCTCCGCGCTGGTGCTCTGCATCCCTGCCATCCCCTGCCCTGGAAGCCCTCCACCATCTCCTAGACCCCCCTACACCCTAAACCTATGCCCTAAACCGCCCTAAACCCCAAGCCCTGCCAAGGTTAATAGCTTCAACACAGCCAACGATGTCCCTTGGCAGCCATTGGAAACAAGGCGAGAACCCATGGACCGGCTGACAGGGTTTTTTTCAGCGTTTTCAGCGGCATCTCTGCATTCTCCCCACACCATTCCGTGATCCCAGTCCTGGGCGGGAACAAAGAAAGGTTTAGGGTTTAGGGTTTAGGGTTTAGGGTTTGGGGTTTGGGGTTTAGGGTTTAGGGTTTAGGGTTTAGGGTTAGGGTTTA